AAAAGATTTTGTCTTGTTTCCTTTTATCTAAGAACCGTTGCGATCAACTACTGCATGGGCTATGCCATAAGCAGGTAGGAGCTCCCTGCGCACAACTCATCGACTATTTCACCACAAATTCGGAAGAACAAGGCTTGGACGTGGTTGATTTTTGGCAGTCAGATTTATATTCCCCGGAGCTGGACTAGTGTCGTTTTGGAGGGTTGGTTGTCACAAGTTACCCACTTCTCGTAGCCGATAACCATGCTAGATGCTAATTGAGGGCATGATGGGAAATCAAGAAAAACATAGTTTTCAAATTGTGTTTGGAGGTGGTATGGCTCAACGGATGTGGAATTGGAACAATTTTTTTCAATGTTGTTCCGAATCTTTCACTTTGTGAAGATATTTCGTCCTGTTACATAACAAGTGTTCTACCGAATAAGAGCAAGCCTGTTCAAATTCCTTCTCAACATTATCACGTAAAGCCTCGATACTGAGAGGCATGGGAAATCTGATGTGTGAGCCTTCTTTTGATAAGAATAGCCAACAGCAAACAGACTCCAACAGCGATGCACCGCACCTTGAGTGAGCGCTCCCTCTTCCACTTCGTAGTGGAACCTTTGATCAGTCTGAAATCGGGAGACCCAGAAAAGTACTCTTGAAGAATTGGGCTTTGAAATAGCTTGTAGAAAAATTGAATCCTCAGTCACGACAGCTAACTTCCCATGAGTTGGCCAGCTTTTCAGGTTAGTCTTATTGTTAGTAGATGCTGTGGCGCAAGCCTTGTCTCAAGCCTACAATTTTTTTCTGGAAATTTCATCTTGTCATGTTAAAAGTGGCCCAAAAATTATGGATTGACCTAATAACTATCACCTTCCATTTTCTATTATTGATGGCACTGACCGATTATCGGATGGTGGTCGTATTTATGCTTTTTGTGTGTCCGTGCTAAACACGTTCATTTCAGAGCACAGGCTTTCTCAATGGCAATGAAATGTGTTCTGAGCACCCTTGGCGCTCACTTTTGAGCTGCTAGATCCAATAATCTTTACCATCACTTCTCTCAGACGAGTAAACCTGTGCGGAGCAATCACGCAGAACTCCCAGTCTGACGACTACTGCAGATTAGGTGATTAGGACAGGGCATTCTACATGAAATTTGGCACACACCTCACTTTGATAGATTGATTCTTCTTCGGCAATGTATGAACAAACTGGCGAGGTGGAATGCTAAGAAAATTACTTCAGTGCTGGAAAATAATTACACATTCGACAGAAACAGACAAAATGCAAACATAAGGCACTGGTTAAAAGGGTGAGAAAGCATTACAAAACCACCATGAAAGTAGAACTATACTTCAGTAACTACTCTCCTATGAAGGTCAAGAAGCATTACGGGAGGCCTCATTGATATGAACTCCCTCGTTCAGCTCCGATTCCTTCTCCTTCGATTCGTCATAGTACCCGAACAGGAAATCCCGGTGACGTCTCCATCCAACACAACGTCGAAGAGCCTCCTCATAATGACGAATCTGTAAATAGAATCGAGTTTTATGAAAGAGGCCGTCAAAATTCTAAAACGAGGAGAAGAAGAAAGGGCACCAGAGTTACGTTTCGGCGAAGCAATTACCTGGATACGAAACATGGCTAAACAGAGCCATCGGATATTCGTCCAGTCACTTATGGAGGGATATTTGTTTGCCCTACATATTTTTGGCCGCATCTTGGATATTTTACAACATAAACTGCACCCATCGAATGGCATACTTTATTCTCATTACAATAAGCGCACCTGTTTCTCCCACAGTTGCCTTCCTAAAGCCGATGTAGACTTTGTGAATCTATCAAGTCGCGGAGACGCGCTGTTCGTCAGTGGTTCAAACGATGCACGAACAGCTCGACAGTGTGAGAAAGTGGTGAAGAGTCAAGGTGCGCAGAGGAACTTTCGCCATTTTCCCGCACTGCGACACGGCGAAGTGCATGGTTCGATTGCTCGTGCACAGTTCTAACTGCTGGCATCGCTGGAACCGCTGGCGCATAGCTTGTGTCCCACGATCCGCTAGAAATTCGCCGAAATGGGGCAGTAAAGGGTGAATAGTGCCAACCTGGACTACGTGAGCAGTCGGCTCAAAGGTAGCAGGATTAGGACCCCCATCTACTCCCATCACAACTCTCGCACCCTACCGCGATTGTGTAAAGATCAGCACGCTTCTCTTGTACGGCATGCTCTCCAGCGCGTTTTGTCTCCTCTGGTCGCTCTGTCTCTTCATTGTACCACATCCAACCTCACTGGAAACTTAGGCCCCTGAATTTAGAACTTCGATAATTTCTCTTTCTCTTCCACTTTCAGTCCACCCCTGATCTCAACCGTCACTATGTAGCGCTCTTATACACCGTTTTAGCCCAGGGGCTTCCATTTAAATTGTGCGGTGTGCGTAATAAGAGCATCATGGGAGCGCAGAGTTCCTGCTTTTATGTTGATTGTCATTACCACTTTTCTTTGATGAGCGGCATTATTATGGAGGATCTCATCAAGTGTAGAATATGGCCTTCACGACTGCACACTGTGTTCGGTACCTATTTATTTTCGCTAAAGAATCTTACAAAAATAGCTCGCTTTAGGCGGCTGGACGAACATATGAGGGCTATACAATAACCTGTTTCATGGGCGGGTAATAGTTTCTGCAAAGCCAGCACCGAACATGCCGACAGGGAACCTCTTAGCCGTAACACAATGTTCTTCACCACTAGACTGAAAATGCAGTGGAAAGAACATTGGAGGCACTGGAAATAAAAAATAGTACCCCAAAAGTAAGTAGTAAAGGTGAGTTACGTGATTCTCTTCAACTCAACAAATAACTGGAGTAAACAGTACTGGGGAACAAATGAGATATCTTGTGACGCTGTGGCCGTAGCAAATCCGCGTTGAAGCAAAAATCCACGGCGAGCTCATATAGATCGATCTATCCTGTGATCAGTATAGAGTCGTGTACGAGAATCAGACAAGAGCATTTTTCTCCGTGGAGCACAACGTTATGACATGGCAGCTTACTGAATACACGCGCAGATTTCGGTTTGTCTGGTAGTTGGGCAATTCTCGCAGAAGAATTAATCTTTTCTAGTACACTTTAGAACCAGCAGTTGCTGGCATGAAGTTAGCAAGTTCAGCAAGACCATCCAGACACGCTCTTTCCGCATCCCAAGAAGGAAGATAGGAAGTCGTCGTAAAAGGGTCGTTCGAATATCACTATTCTATCCCACTTCAAAATTCATTGGTTTGACATCCATCATTCACGATAAGAACGAAAAGAACAGAAAAAAATTGTTTGTTTTCGTAAACAATTCAAAAACCCAAAGGACTGTTACGCGTTCAAATTCCCGCCGACATCTGTCACAAATGTTGGCGACGGGAATGCTTCCACTTGGTTCTCGGAGTGCCTTCACTAGGAACTCTTTTTGGCCTTTCCACTCATGGCAATAACATTTCTTTTCTACTGCATCCTAATTAATCGTTTTTCCCCTCATTCTTTGTTCTCGAACGCTTTAACCCAATTCCCCCCATTTCTCGCCTGAGACGTGGCTGCCCGGAGGCGCAATCATTCCTTGCGTTCCCTAGTATCCACCCTACCTAATCTCGACCGTCCGTAGAGTGCGGTTATCGTGAATTTATTTCTCTTCGAAAACTGTATCTTCTAGCGTGAAACTTTCTATGTGTCCCTAGTGATAACACTAGCGTTTGCTGTTGGGAAAGAATGCAAAAATTTTCCAATTGGACCATTTTTTGATGAGACGCGCCATGCACTCGACCTCCATTCCGAATCGTGTTGGTATTTGAATTCATATTCAAACTTCGAAACAGTTACTACTGGTTGTCAGGCAATATTTTCATGACCTCTTATATGGAGATCTTGTTCCCGCGGATTTGCTGTAGTGGAAAAGGCTTGGTTGGCTACGGGAAACATGCGAATGCGACAGCGAAACTCGTCACTCCCCACTTCTCTTTTTGCATTTAACTTGTCTATTGAGACCATGAGGGGATAACTAAAATAAATTGTATTCGTATCTCAAAAATTCTTACGTTAACATGTCAACTGTTTGAAAAGTGATGCTGGAAATAGCTTTCATAAAGTTGCGTACCTGCAATGGACAGATATCGTCTTTTGCGGCAATGTGGCCCTTCGTGGATCTCGTTTAGAAACAAATTCTTCTCTTCAGTCCTCATAACGACACACGCCGCGTCAACGTAGTAAGCCACAACTTCACGACCAATGAAGGCCAGGACAAAAGGAACCACCGGTTCACACGACGGAGCACCTAGCCATCGTAGCAGATTTCCAACATCCTTTCTGAAAATGAAAGACCGTTGCATGAGTATTATTCTTTTTATGTAAGATACTCCTCTCTGTTAACATAGGTCATTTCTTTTCTTTTGTTCAACTCTTTGAAAATGCATTAATTAACAAACAGCCGTGCCATACTTTCAAGGCCCGCATCACTATCGTACTGGTGTGTTATTTAGCCTGAAAAATGCACAATCGGTGCGAAGAGGACCGTCAGAAAGTAAAAAAAAGCAGAAGAAAGCATAGAAAACACTGAAATCAAGGATGTCCTTCCTGAAGTGGACCTCGGTAAGAAGGAGAAACACTCGCGCGGCGAAGAGAGGGAACACGAGAGAGCACGCCGTACGAGAGGAAACAGACACCACGTACATACGTTGTGAACGAATGGAAATGGCAGCTCAAACGCGCTCATGGAACGGGCCACAACGAGATTCTGATCGAGCTGCCTGTCAAAACTACTACGGAACTCATCACGTGAGCCCTTACGCACCGCTCACGCGAATCGCATCGTCATCAAGGGTCAGGAAATAGAGTCAACCGTAGCAGCGCACTTTCACGAGAAAATTGTGCGAACCTCACTCCTCACCACCATCAGCTTCAGGTAAACTGGTATCATAAAGCAGCAAATCCACGAATTTTGTACCTACTTTACCATACTACCATGAAACTTTTGCCGAACTCGTCGAAAAACCCGTTCGATACAACCCCAGTACACGCGTTTCCTAGAATAAGTCACCCCTAACCTTAGAACGACCGAACTCGGCTTCCAAAATCGCAAAGACCCCTCGTTTCGAATAAGGTGGCCTCCGCTAGTTGAAGTCAAATAGGCAGTAAAGGGAAGCCCGAATACGGTGGAAAAGTGAAACAAAATTTGAATATGAAATTGCTTCGTATATAATTTAACCAGTTTAGCTCCGCCCGCTACCGCGCGCATTGATAGAACTGACAATCGATGAAGCTTTAGGTTTCACCGCTAAATTATAGCTGCTTCGTTAAATGTATTACTGTCCGTTGCATAGGCTGCCCATCTTGGCTGTATCTCACTGTTTGATAAGCGCAGTGAAGTGCACAGCTAAAGTGATGATGTAAACAACCACTATGCGTCGAGTATCGAGGTAATTTAGCGGTCGAATATCTCAAAACGGAATGCCCAGTATTCATTACCAGTTTAGCTCCGCACGCAACAGCGCGCATCACATGGTAGGCTAGTGAAGCTGGACAACTTGCTGAATATTAGGTCACGTGGCTGAGAAATTAACAGTAAGATGTTTGGAAGATGTGTCACATAAATTCTCAAAAGGCTGTCCAATTTTGCTGAAGATTGTAGCGTAATGCGCGCAGTAGCATGCGGAATGAAAATTTACTTATCATGACTTCGTAAACATTTAGCATTGATATCGAGCTCGGTGATTTAGCGGTTTATAGAATTTCCACAATTGAAGAATCGGTGTGTAAGTGAAATATAACCAATCAATCAGCATCTAACCATGATGGAGATTGCAAATATGATGGAAATTCGCTATTGGTCCAAGTCCAGATAGTTGAGCAGCTCAACTTTCTTTGCTTCTTTAGATGAAAGGATAGGAATGGAAACAATACGGTGAAACTCCAGTTCGGGGGGGCCACTCCATTGCTATCTTATCCGTAGTACTAGAGAGCAGTTCTTTGGGCTATCGAACACTACGGATAAGATAATAAGTGAACGACTCATTTCGAGCGTACTTTTGATAAGGACCGGTGGATGTCCTACATTCCACACTACCTGCCCACATCCCATCCACTTTTCTGCACAGGTGATCCACCCTGGAGCTCCTGCACCCTTAGCCCTTTGCGGAGGTGTCCTGGTCCAGGACCGTTCCCTTGGGTCATGGCAGGCGGAAATGTGAAAACGTTTCAGGGTTTCTCACCCATTACACCAATATTTATCAGAAGTCTACTTTAAATGAGTCGATTACGTGTCGTGAGCCCTCTAATCCTTATCTTGAGTATTGGAGAAAAAATGGAGTGGCCCCCCCGAACTGGAGTTTCACCCGAACTCATATTACGTGCTAGGGACCTGGTTTAGTTCAATTGAGTGCACGCTCAACTGTCGCTACTTTTATCAGTACAGTTGCCGCTCATACCACTTTCTGTCACCTACATTCAACCCTCGCCACCTTGATCGCTTGCCAGTGATAATTGCAACGAAGTTGGAGAGACCTGCATTCAAACGCTCTTATCATTCCTTGTCATTTCTTATCAGTTCATACTGTTCGCAATCGGTGTCCCGGTCCCAACCTCCACGCAACGTGTAGGAGCTAATATTTACTGTCACCACGAAGGCTGCAACGAAATTAGCAGTACTCAAAATCCTAACTTCCTTATCAACCGTTATCGCTTGTTATCACTTCTGATCATCCGCTATCCGTGTTCCCGTCCCATCCCCTATACCACATGTGAGAGCCAAGGTTCCAATGTAACCGCAAGGGCCGCAACGAAACTGGTGGTATCCACACTTTGACGCCCCTTATCAGTTCTTATCAGTTGCTACCACATTCGTTCACTCAACTTTCTTGGTCCCCGCCTCACCCCACATATCATACATGAGTGCAAACTCTCCACCTGTCAACGCGAACGGTGTAACGAAATTGGTGACATCAACATTTCGACGTCCGTTATCAGCTCCTATCAGTAGTTATCACTTCCCGCCACCCACTCATCAGTGTTCACTCCGGCCCGTACATATCCTAGAAGTTTGAGCGCTCTTGGTCCAAAGGGAGCGAAGTTATGAATTTCCGGTCAGACACACACACACACACACAACCGCTTAGCCGATTATATATAGTAGGATCATATTTATTCGAGCATCCCATTCATCCTCAAGATTTCTAGAAGGTGCAGCGGTCTGAGAAATCGGTGCTTTGCTTCGATTCGGGTTGAGATGCAATTATAACGCTGATGCAATTAACACTTAAAGGAATCTTGCGCGGAAAAATCATGATTCTATTTCAGCCATAAATCACTGGCTTGAGACTCATTATCCACGATAATAGTGAAAAGAACTGAAGTATTGCTTTCGTTTTGATTAGAAATTCGAAAACTCGAAAAGGCTGCTACGCGTTCGAATTGCCCACGGACGTCTTTCACGAATGCTGGCGACGGGGATGCTCAAACTTGGTTCTTTGCATTCACTAGAAGCTCTTTCTGGCCTTCTGCTTCGTTGCATTCACATCTTACACTTCTACTCCATCCTATTCCATCGATCGATTTGTCTCCACTCTCCGAAATCGCGCGCTTTAACCCGATTCTCTCATTGCGTCGCCTGGTACGTAGCCGGCCAAACGCCGTCTTCTTTCCATGCCTCGCCTGGCTCTGCCTCCTGGTCCTTCGATGGTCCATAACGTGTAGTTTTTGTACGTTTGTTTCTCTTCAGAAACCGAATCTTCATGCGTGAAACTTTGTGTGCTATTTCCAGTGATCACAACAAAAAAAAAAAAAAAAAAAAAAAAAAAAAAAAAAAAAAAAAAAAAAAAAAAAAAAAAAAAAACAAATCCAACCTTTCGGGATGGAAGAGATCCGTTATCCCAGACCGCACAGCACTTCCACTTTATCAGGCCATCTATCTACAATCTGCTCTCTATTTTCTATTTCAAGTGCTCTCTACGTTCGTACGCATATCGTTACCTATCAGTCCTCATCAGTCGTTATCACTTTTTGACCCCCACCAAATATGTTCCCGTCCCACCCCCTATATCATGTCCCAAAATCAGCTCCTGACGACTGCTGCGAAGCGCACTATGAATTTCGTGAAATTTGTGTTTCAGCGCCTCTTATCTGCTCTTATCAGTCGTTATCACTTTGTGACCCCCACCAAATATGTTCCCGTCCCACCCCCTATATCATATCAAAAAATCAGCTCCTAACGACTGCTGCGACGCGTGCTATGAATTTCGTGACACACACACACACAAACAGACAGACATAGCGTTTTATATATAGTAGGATAGCATCTCAATGGAGAATCGCCCAGTATGTATCTCACGTTTGTAAGTTCATCTGGGAAAAAGCAAAATTTTTTTTTCACTAGAGCTGACGAGGAGTGATGTTTGGGACCAAACTACGACAGATACGGTCACCTTCGACTAATTAGGTTATCTCAATTCTACACACAAGTAAGCGTAGTCTTTGAGAGCAATGAGGTTCCGTCGCTACCTTCTCAGATTTCGACAAGTATCTTTTTAACACATTGCAGCCCGCGTGCATCGCCGGGTATGCACGTCGAAACTCCCACATCTGACATTTGTGCATCGCCCGGTATGCACATTGATTTTAAGCTCCCCTTATATCTTTTTTCATTACTTCTGTGACTATAGAAGTTCCACTAGTGCCTTGAATCCACTAAACACATGGCTGCTCTCCATCTTCAATTTCAAATACTTTTGGAACTTCAATTTGCACAACCAGTGCCTCAGTTTGAACCCTCATAAACTGTTTAACAATAAACTCCAATGGCTACTAATTACTGAATATATTTTCTGATGAGAAGCCGAGCAAAAAATAGTAAGAAGCGAAAGAAAAAACGAGAAAAAGTAGAACAAAGAAAGGACAAAAGCAATACGTTGCCAGCCCAATGGGGAGGTTGCAGTTGAGATGTGTCCTGTGGCGAAATACATGGGTCTTGTAGCGAGATATATGGGTCCTGTAGAGAAATTCCACAAAATGTCCCGAATGTGAGATTTGTGCATCGCCGGGTATGCACGCAGGTAATGCAGCTATGTCACATGTGTGACATGCGCCGAAATCAGTGCGGGCGTCAATGTGTTAAAATTGGAAGTCGGAATAAAAAAGTAGTCATTCAGCGCTTCAAAGTGAAATAGAGATCTTGGAGTCCGGGAAAATGTTCAGTCAATCTCACAATGTAGTGGATTGAGTCGAGTACGCGGCACAGTTCGGGGCAGGTGTTGAGACCCATCTTTTTGTAGAGCGAT